GGCGCTCCTGCCCGCCATGTATACTCGCGCTCTGATTGGTCGAGGATTTTTGTTAATAACTCAATACCCACGCCTCGGACAACTTTTTCGCAAAGGAAAAAGTTGTTTAAAATCACCTCAAGAACCCCCCATTAAAATATGTACCACTAGTCCCGGGACACCCTGTATATAAGTATATACATGTGTATATATATAGGTCAATATATATAGCATATTCATAGATATATGTAGATATATGTAGCATATATGTATATACATAGCGTATATATAGATATATATAGCATATACATACATATACATACATATATGTAGTATATATGTACATACACAACATATATGTAGACATATACAGCATATATGTACATTGATATGTATAGCATATGTTCGTTAGAGCGTTAGAAATCAAATTGCATTTTACCGCCCTAGGGCGGGAAAATTCTATTTTCGGTCCACTTTATAGGCGCCGAAAATGGTCTTTTTCAGCCACGTATTATGAAAAGTACTATTCTGTACTCGTCCTAATTGTTACATTGATCATAATATTAAATTCATAATTTCGAATAATAGAATTATAAGCAATTTTAAGTGCTTTATCGTATTCTTATAGATTTTAAGTAGGGGGTTGAACGGTGGAACAGTCCTGCAGGCGCTCCCCATCAACTAACGAAGGGCAAGTGTGACTAGAGCAGTCCTGTAGGCGCTCCGGATCTAATAAATGGAAAAGGATATGAACACAGTAAGAATACTTATTGGACAATAGAGTAATTCAATAAAATTAAATCTTCTAAATCATATATCAATTATATTAGATCAATACGCAGTCAGGACGAGTCGGCAAAAGACGACCTAACAGAAGAAAACGTCGAGCCGGTCTAAGGGAAAAGGCTAAAAGAAATAGAAGTAAAATCCTAAATGAAATACGGGAACAGCTACAATATTTACATGAGCATAGAGCTCCTAGCCACCCTGAGAGGCCGTGTTATTCACCTATGTCTCAAGCGTCAACTTTAATAGTACCGAACAACCAAGAAGAAGATACTGAAATTCAAATCATAGATACCGATACCGCAATTACGATTAACAATCATAACGAATTTCCAAACGAATTGTTAGTAAGATGTATTCATGATTACAAAACATATATGCAAAACATTGACAAAAGCGAATGAATCTATTTCCTGGTGCGTTAATAAAGGATAATAAATAAAGGTCAATATTTTATAGTAAATATTTGTCCAAATCATTCATTTAAAAAGCCCTTTACACAATTCAATTCTAAGCACCTGCTCGGGACGTGTACGCGTCTACCAGGTGCCTCCACGAATTGGCGAACCCACATTTCCATCGGACGATCTGCAAAAAATAGAGAAATTACAATTTGAGTCGACATAACCTAATTTAACTAGTTTCGATAAAATAATAATAGTAGCATATCTGAGTGACCCTCGAGCTGTTCCGAGGCGTACAGGTTCGTCGTCCGGTTCTCCATTTAACCTCTCTCATCGTGACGTTTCCTCCTCCAGGACGTCACACTGTATTTCAATTTTTGCAAGTAAAAACCTAAATTGACTGTACTACAAGGAAACACGTGCATCCCAAATTTCTCGTGTTTTACGCGCAAATCGCGCGTCGATTTTTCCTCGTTCTCATCGAGACCCGAGAGTACAAGCCGAGAGAGAGAGAGAGAGTTATTTCCGACGGCTTAAGGACCTTTCCCACTGTTCGCCGGTAAGCCCCCCAGGGGCTACAGCAATGGGTTCGACCCGGTTGTAGTACGGGCCTTGCGAATCCGGGGTGCCTGAGCCATGCTCATACCGTAATAGTCCAAGAAAAATAGGTCTGAAATCGACACTTTTAGCCGAGTGACTGAATTTTTGATATATGCTATGTTTGAACCTTAGAAACAAATGTGCAAAGCCAAAAAGTTTTTGCATCAGGGGGTCGTGCCGCAAACAACCCCTCGGGGGTGTTTCTGGCTTATAAATCGAAAACGGTTATAGATATCGAAAAACATTTCAAATAAAAGTTGTGCAGCGCGAAATTTTGCATAAGGATGATCCACTACATTTTCCCTTTCGATGAAATTTAACCCTTCTAGAGGGGTTCAAAAGTTGAAATTTAGAAATACCGCTATTATATTGATCGTGATCGGAATTCGATCATACGATCTAATAGCGAAGGAATTACGTAATCGCGCGAGACAATTTGATTTCAAGGAAAAGGACGGACTGTTCCATCATTTGCGCAGTCGCGAATAATCGTGGTCGAACGATTGTGATTGCCGATGGATTATTATTCCC